TCCATGATTCATTGTTTGCATATAACACCCAGTGCTCCATGCAGAACGTGCCCTCTTTAATACCCATCACCAGGCTAACCCATCCCCCCACCCCCTCCCCTCTAGAGCCCTCAGTTTGTTTCTCAGAGTCCGTCGTCTCTCATGGTTCGTCTCCCCCTCCAATTCCCCCCTTCATTCTTTCCCTCCTGCTATCTTCTTCTTCTTCTTCTTCTTTTTTTAACATATAATGTATTATTGGTTTCAGAGGTACAGATCTGTGATTCAACAGTCTTGCACAATTCACAGCGCTCACCACAGCACACACCCTCCCCAATGTCTGTCACCCAGCCACCCCATCCCTCCCACCTCCCACCACTCCAGCAACCCTCAGTTTGTCTCCTAGGATTAAGAATTCCTCATATCAGTGAGATCGTATGATACTTGTCTTTCTCTGATTGACTTATTTTGCTTAGCATAGTAGCATCTTTTATAGGCAGATTAAATTTTTATCTAGCCGCTCTTGGAAGCCCAGAATAGCTTAGAGAAGATGATCAGTTGGTGAATCCGAAATTGGGTTTTGCCTGGTGGGACTGATGGGACATCAGAAGGAAAACAGGGCAAGAAAGTTACGTATCTTGAACAGATGCTGTATGACCTCCCGAAATGCGGACCATACTAGTTCAGGAAGTATGAAAGGAAAGGGGATGGGACATGAAGGGGATGATAGATAAGGAGAAAACAGAGGAGCCAAAGAATTGGAAGTATCAAGAAGGTTGAAAAAGAGGTGTAGTAATAGAAGTGGAAGGGCTGAAAATGGTAGCTAGAGAGTAGGTGATTTGACTTTACAATATTAACAATAAACTTTCCCAATGTACATTTTGTGTGCAAGTGACTATGGTGGGAGTGGAGGTGGCCAAGTCATTAGAATTGATATCAGTAAAGTGAGACATTAGAGTGTTGAGTGGATTGCCCTTGTGAGCACTGAACTAAACTGGGGTGATAGCAGAACTAGAGATGAAGGGGGAATCTGAGACCCAGATGCCTGGTGTCCAGTGAATGAGAAAAACTGAAGAAAAAGTTGGTAGGTGGCAACAAGGAGGAGTTATGTAAATGTGTGCCAATCCTGCGACCATTAGTTTGGTCAGTGTAAGTGTCCTATATGATTAATTTAGACCAATATTGGGGACAATCTGTGGTCTCACAGTGATTTCCTTATTTGTCCTCCAGTGTCTGATTCATTTATTTGGACTCTATTTTAAAATATTCTTTTTAACATGCTAGCATTAAGGGACTGCCAGGAGAGGTAGGTCAATAAACTGTTCTGTGAATAGTGGAAAAAAAAAACATGCTAGCATTATCTACCAGATTTTTTATGACCTCTTGGCTTCTAGTGAATAGGTCACCGCAAGACAGAAAAAAAAATCAGCAAAAATTAATCTCATCTCCATTATGAGGGGTTAAAATAGTGAAATACAATTCAGCCCTTGAAATATTTACACCCAAGTAGAGAAATTTAATGAAAATAGGGTAAGATAATACTATCACAGGGTGTCATATGAGAAGGCAAAACTAGAAAAATTCTGGACAGCATGGGGTGATGACAATTTATTTTTATTTTTTTATTTTTTTTTTAAGATTTTATTTATTCATCTGAGAGAGAGAGAGAATGAGAGATAGAGAGCACGAGAGGGAAGAGGGTCAGAGGGAGAAGCAGACTCCCTGCTGAGCAGGGAGCCCAATGTGGGACTCGATCCCAGGACTCCAGGATCATGACCTGAGCCAAAGGCAGTCGCTTAACCAACTGAGCCACCCAGGTGCCCAATTTTTAAAGATTTTATTTATTTATTTGACAGAGAGAGAGAGAGAGAGCACAGCGGGGGGAGGGGCAGAGGGAGAGGGAGAAGCAGGCTCCCTGCTGAGCAAGGAGCCCGATGTGGGACTCGATCCCAGGATCCCGGGATCATGACCTGAGCTGAAGGCAGACGCTTAACCGACTGAGCCACCCAGGTGCCCTGGATGATGACAATTTAGGGGAAACTAGGCACCATTCAATGAAGGAGAAATATTCAATAAAGCAGAGGACTAAAAATTATCTTCTAATTCTACTTTGGACCTGCTTAACCTATCCTAGCTACAGCATGTTCTAAGAGATAGCAGTGTGTACTTTAGATTGTACCGGTGATGAGGATGCAATCATATTTCCTTCAGAAATTACCTCCAGTCTACAAATAGACCACACAGGGGTAGGAAGAGTGAATGGGAGTTCCCTTAATTTATATGATTTAGGCTGCAGGAGGGACACATTCAAGAAACTCCATGAGGGCTCTTGATATTTCCCTAACAGAAATGGAATTTTTGATGCCATTTTGGAAAGGATCCATGACTTGTCTGATCCTATTATTCTATGGGTTCCAAGCTCTGAACCAGTTGAAGGGCTCCTTAAGCCCCAGACTAATGTTCTGGGAAAAGTGCATTCCTTCAACAAATATGGAAGCTTCTATTGTTGCAAGATTCTGTGCAAGGGCTCTTGTGGGCCCCAGAGAAAAATATGGCTCCATGCCTGGTACTCTAATGCCTATTTATAGTCACATGTGGATTACTTTTAATGGTATGGTCTGGGTCTGAACCAAACACACTTACATGACTGAAGTAGATGTTCTCCGTTTATGCTGAAATATTCAAATATATTATACCAGAAAGAAATAAAGAAAAAAAAACTTATTCAGCATCATGATGAGAACATATATGGTGTGTAAAATGAATGAGAGTTGGTTTGAATCAAGTACCATCAACTACCAACTCCATGACACTGGGTAGTATAGGCCCCATTTTCTCATCTACAAAACAGGGATAACAGAATAACTCATTTACTCGTAGTTGTAAAGATTAAACAAGATGATGTGAGATGCTGTACCCATTACCTGGCATACACAATAAGAAGGTACCTATAACAATGATAACCATTATTATTTTAGAAGGCAACATATCTAGTTGGAAAAAATGGACATGCAATCAGTCATATATGGATTAAAACAATGGTAGTAAAGTACCTGTTTTTGACAACAAGAAACAAAAGTAATAAAATGGACTCTATGCGTTGTTGCAACGATTAAATTAGACAAGACTGACTAGGTCTTAGCAGGTACACAGCAAGAAAGAGGAAACTACTACTCACTTAGAAATCCCTTCACTTATTTTGCATAACTCTGTGGATCAGTATAAATGAATAGAGTTATTATTTGTCAGAGTCCACTTTCCTCACCTTCAAAGCTGGAAACATGGGACTTGATCTCTGAGATAACTTGTACCTCTAAATCGTTACAAATTCACCGGAGATTTTTAGGAATCAGATGAATGAAATCATCCTGAAATAGCTGAAATATAACTTCTGCCTGCCAGTTTTGTGAAATTTTTGCATTACCATAAGAGGTAAATTAAAAAATGACTTTGGAAAAATTATACTTCCTCTTCATCCCTGCTTAGCTGAAGCCGTTTCTTTGATTTCCTTGACATTGTTGCCTTTTAATGTTTTCCAGAGTAATTTTCCCACCTGCTTTCTCCAAAACGTAATAGCTCCTCAAAAAAGTTAATTCTATTTCTGTGTCATGATTGACTAATTTAGCCTGCTAGTTTAGAACTGCAATAAAGCTTCCTTATCAAAATAAAATCTGTGAATTCATCACTGAAAAAAAATGATTTTGTGCCTCAAAACGTGATTGAGTTCCACAAAGGAATGAGATGATAATTTACTTTCTGTCACCTCCAAAGTTAACCGGGAAAACAAACAAATAAACAAACACGTTTTTCTGACAGGCAAACAGGCAAATCACAGGCAAAACTGCAGGGCAGGGGGATCCAAAGGAAAAAAAAAATCTTGAAAAAGCTGAGCTTCCAATCTCCTCCCACTAGTCTCTGTGAAGGATGACTTCAGTCCCTTTCTTAACTAATTCTGTCACTGTAAAATCCTACAGTCATTCTTCCACACATAAAGGACAAATAAGCTCAAGAGGAGGATCTAGATGCTTTCAGTTTTAACTATTCACCAATGGTGGAAAAGGCAGAATGCCTAAGCTATGTCCCGGTGGCCAATAGGATGGCTGTGTGTCTCCCACATGACTCGCTGGCCCTGTCTTTCACATGGGCTGTAATTTGGTTCAATTCAGAACTGCAGATAGTACAGCTTTTACAGGAGCAAGGGATGCCCAAGCACAAGTGGCTGAGTTCCGAGTGACTTTAGGAAGCGCTTTCCTGCCTCCCTCCTTCAGGAAAACGGGGGATTCTGCACCTGTACCAGGGACAGTCTGGCAAAAGCCTGCTCTGCCTCCGGGGACAAGGAAATAGCACCAATAACCATTTTGAAATTGTAAGTATACATTTCTTTCCGTCAAGTGTACTGATGAAAATAGTTTTATGTCATAAGCATCAAAGATGTAAGGATTTTTAGGGCACTCTTTTGTATGTGTCCGGAAAGGTATTCGGCAGGCAGGAAGATATTTCGGGGGGACAATTGTTGCATGCTTTGTTATGTTAAGGATAAAGAATTAAAAATAAAAGTCAGGCATTCCAAAGAGTAGCTGCAGGAGGGCTGCACCCCGGAACCTTGCTCCTGTATGCTGCTTTGTTCCTAAGGAAAAAATGAAGGCACACACATATGTACTTAGTTCACTTCTTTTCGTTCTTTATGTCTAATCAGATCTGATCTGTCCCCAAGAAAAATAAAAGGCAAACTTTGCTGACTCCACTGACAAGGGTACCATAGACTTTCCAGACATCTGACAGTTATTATAATTAGCTACGAAAGACTGCTAAGACACTTGGGGGCAAATAGCTCTTAAATTCTGAACAATGGCTTCAAGCCAGAGCTTTCTTTTTATTTATTTTCTAACCACGACTTTTCATTTATAGTAATGATAGAGACCAAGCTGGTTTCGGTGTTTTCGTCCACAAAATGGGAAATAAAGTCCCGGCAGAAGTGAAAGGTGACTGGGTAAAGTGGTCAGTGTAAAGATAGAAGGAAAAGACAGCTTTCTGTATCAGGATCCAGCCTTCCATGTATAAAGATTTTTTTTTTTTTGAAATTCCTAATAGGGTGGAGTGAGGATGTGGGGGTGGGGAGGAGGCATGCGGAAGCTTCTTTATAGAATGCTTGAAGAATAAAAGAATTTGGGATTTCTTCTTACTAGAAGGCAAAAGATACACTTAGCATCTAACTTACATGCTTGGTAAGGTTTTTTGATGGAGTTTCAAACAGAAGCGACATACAAACCAGTTTTTTTTTTTATTTATAAAATAATTGGAAACAAATGGGGGAAGAATGATCCTGTATTATTGCTTTCTTTTTACGTTGAGCTCGGGTAATCTAGCAATGCGTTATGCCTTTACTTCTAGAATCATCCAAATTCTTAAAAAGTTATAAGCCAAGTCTCATAAGAAATTAAAAGGCAAATCAAATCGATGTGATTGTGACTGATGAAGATTTTGAACGACAAAGCCTCCAACAAAAAGAGAGTTTGTAAGAAAACATTGCCCTCCTTATTTTTAAAAAAGAGTATCAACTCCATCAATTATTGAAAGGAATTATTCAAAGGCTCCAGACATAACTAATTATGGCTTAAAGAGATCTGCCAGAGCAGAGCTTGTGTTCTAATTATAAAAGTCCAAGACGGTAGGATTCATTTTTTCAAGAGGACTTGGACACAAATTTTCACATAATGTTTTTAAAATACACCATTTTTTTTTCTTTGTCTGCTCTCATGTTATCTACACCTCCCCCACCGCCGCCCACTGTGTGCTGAGACACCTGAAGGCTAGACATAATGATCAACAGAGCTCCAGCCTGTCTGGACTCCAGCCAGGTTTTTTTCCCCCCTCTACAATCAAGGAGCTTGCACGCAATGCATGCCGAGCCTATTCCACTGCTATGTGCAGATCCGGGATGGAAGTCTTACACATACTGCGGAAAGATTAAAGACAACAATATCCCCTTTCTTTTACCCCAGACAGCCTCAATTTTTAACCCTTTCATTACCTTTAAAACCAAGACGTCTTATCCGTTCCAATGCAGGTCTCAAGGGACCCTGCAACTCCTGCATCACATTATACAGATACACATGCCTCATTTGGTATAGAAATCTCGACAGACCCATCAGGGGGATATTTTAGGATTAACAGTGTGCTAACTAAACAAAACACAATTTACTCGTATGGGAAATGCATTTTTGAATGAACTTAAGCTGTATTAAATCTGGAAAAAGTCAAAGGTCTGTGGAAAGATTCTTGCAAATCTTGCAGAAGGTTATAGCATTTCTGATGATGCTGTTCTTTAACCGTCTTTCTCTCTCTCTCTCTCTCTCTCTCTCTCTCTCTCTCACACACACACACACACACACACACACACTCAAGAGACACATTCAGCCAGGCAATTATATCATTATATCACAGAGAAACCCTGGTTTGCTGGTGATGTCATCACATATAAAATTTCGCCTTTGTGGGCAACATTTTCAATCACCTAATCGCCAATGTCTGTTGGGTGTGTGCCCATAGGAAGTTCACATGTTTGTGGGGTTAACCAACACCCACAGGAAGGACTATTTTATTTGTAGCTATCTCTTTCTTGAAGATGTGTTTATGGGGCAGTATGGGCATGTTTATCAAGGTATCTGTAGTCAGGCAGAGTTTTCTGGTTCTAGGAAGCCTTACTAATATGCTGGTTGAACATTTTAGAGGTGGCTGAATTTCAATTTCAGTGCTATGAATAGGATGTAGAAATGGTGAACATTCTGCAATCACTTGGATAAAAATGCTACAATACTGAGAGGTGTTATGACTTAGTGATTCTTATTTGTCAGTTAAATTTTTGCAAACATTAAATCATTTCACTCTTAACTTATTGGTTAAAGAAAAATATATACCAATGATTTTAAAAGTAATGCTCATTTCATGTGCTCTGGTTTAGAGGATAATTGAGTTAAAATTTTGTGGGCTGGTGCAGTATTTGTATTTATTTTCAAGTTTATATTATGGGTCTTACACTAAACAGTTATATACCAAACAAATTGTCTAGATTTTTAATAATGTGTATATTTAAGTGTACTATTTTATTTTACTTAACTCAAATAGAACAAAGTTTAATAATTTTATGGAAACATATTGCCATAACTGAGACATAAATATAGAACAACCATGCATACATAATGTCTCTTAATTACTAAGTTTTGATATGTAATTTAAGTTAATCTTCATTAGTATAGAACGGCCGGGTATACTTAACCAGTTCCTATATACCAAGTATTTGATACAATATTTTCTTGAATTTTGGGATTTGCTCTGAATACTTCTTTTTGCATACTTAGAAAAGGATTAATTTTGAAAGGATTTGCAAGACATATGTATATGACCAGCACGATTTATATACCAACATACAAATTAATGAAATTAATTTTGCTGAGGTATTGTGTGATTGTTTTAAAACAAGAGAAAAAGTGTTTTGTTCTTTTTTGCTTTCATGTTACTTCTGTTGAGAAAAGTATATAGCTCAAAGAACAGACACATTTAGTACTTAGAAAAAACAAGCTACACAAGTTAGGTGACATTCTGTGGGGTAAGACGCCAGTGTGAACTAATAAATAACTTTTTTGAGAAATTTTTGGGCTTGACTCCATACTTTTTACATAAATAGTTTTTCCAGCCTATAGTGGAGTTCTTGCCTGAGGATGAATTATATAATTGTTTTGTCAAACATAAAAAATGAACAAGTAGTTGGATTTAAATTTCACCTACTTTCTAAAAACAGAACATGACTTTGCCCACTGGGGATACAGGTTACTAAAAAGGCATCTTTCAAAGAAAAGAAGATAATGGACTTGATTGAAATAGTTGAACTACGTAACGCCAATTCAGAACAAATGGTTTTTCAGAGCATAAAGGAGAAAGAACAATTTACTATAGTACAGTTTATTCTTCTTACACAATAGTAATGATTTATTTGAAACGGCAGAACAAACATAGTAAATATACAAAAAGAAAAAATACAAAACAACTGATATCTTATGTCAGAGATATGTCAAGATTCTTATTTCATATATATTAGAATATCCTTAATTCAATCATTTATCTGAAGACTTTAGTGAAAACCTACACTCTTGCTTAGCATATATGTTGATATTATAATCATGTGTTCTTGAACATGTGTATAGATTGGGTATATATAAAATATATTTGAATGTAGTTTTATGACCAAAAATAATTGTTGGTATTTTATTATAGCCAGAGTTTTTAAATTTTTTTTAATGATCTTGAGTTAGAATATTAACATATTTTAATACAATGAAATTTAGATGGGGAGGTCAACATAGCCACGTCTATGCTAGCAGGGGGACGTACTCAGATAATGGCTAAATTAATGTATTGATGATGTAATTGCAAATGTCTCATATCAAAACATATTTCAATCATATCAAAAGATATGACTCTAATGTGGCAAACAGTATAAAATGTTATTTTTTAGAAAAACTTCATTTTTTACCATTATGAAGATGATTTCTAAAAGTAGACTCACGCTCATATTTCTCTTTATTAAAGAACAGATTGGGTTTTTTTAAAAAACTTGCCTTTAGGCTTGAGACCTGAAATTATTTTGAGTAGATGCCCGAGCACTGTGCAGAGAATGCACAGGAACCTCAAGTCACAATGAGAAAAGAAAGAAAATTGGTTTGGTTGCCTCATGCCTCAGATTTTATTCTTTCTAGCCTACATGCAGACAGCACTCAAAATTAATTTGAGTGAAAACTATCCAAGTTATTTTCACAATTTTCAAAAGACCCACGGTCCTGTTGATATCCCATTAAGGAGTAGTGTTCTAAGAGTGATTGAATGTTCCACTGCCTGAAACTCAGTCAAGCTCAGTGAGGCGCTGGGGTCAAATGGGCTCATGAATCACAGATAGGAAATGAACTGTGTATTGCATATTTGGAGGTTGAAAAAGAAACATTTGGGATATTTTACCGTAAACAGATTTGGGGTTGATTTCTTGGCACATCTTTTTAAACATCAAGCCTGCAGTTCAGCTGAAATAACTTTTTATATGTATAGCTAAGACCAGATGGCCACGTGCTCCTTTCTTATTTAGATGAGACTTTTCCTTTCAATAACATCTTTCTTCCTGACCTGCTTAAAAATTCCAGCGAATGAAATCAGCACAGGATTTTCAATTCTAATTGACCATGTGCAGAGGAAGGGCCAGTGGAGAAATCAGTGGAGGCATTGTAAGGCTCACTGCCTCAGTTTTGTCTTTGTGTTTTTCCCTTACTAGCCAATCTAAACTAATTGAAAACATTTAATTTTTATTAAAATTATATAGCT